GAGAGCTAGATGTTCAAGACCCTTATGTCTATTCAGGAGTCCCAAAAAACTGCATTTGTCGTTTCCTGATTGTTTTTAACATTGACCATAATAATATACATTAATATAGCCACTGTAATCTTTGAGTAACCCTGTTGTATCTTTCTGGGCCGATTCTTTGCATGTCCTGTTTAACATTGAGAGTCAACTGATTTGTTCTATGTGGGTTTGTTCCAATACTCTGTTCGTCAAAAAACCCAAGGAAATAATGGAATGGTTTCATGTCTGGGGAATGGAATGAGGTAATCATTCAGTTGTAAGCTGTAAAGCACAAGGGCGCTATCCCGAAAAATGCTGTTTTGAGAAAATTGGAGGTAAAATTTTTGGACCCTTGTTCAGTTTCTGTAAAAGACCAGGAGAGTTTTCTCTATAACTAAGCAAATATTCCAACCAATGAAACCAAACTTCTCCTATAGGTAGGGGAATGTCCACGGTTAGTGTTGGTAAAGATTTCTGGAAACCACGAAATCTGGGTTAGCCCGCTTATCCTTAAAAGCGACCATGACCTTGACCATCAATGATTTATTTATAGAGGCACCAGCCATCTATATCCATGTGCTGTTTTAGCCTCTTTTTCAAAAGCGACCATTTATAAGCTTTCGGCTTATATAAGGTGTACCTCAAATATTTCTGTTGGAGGGCGCCACTGTACGGTAGTTCCTACGTCTGTTGCTTCTGTCTGTCTTACTTTTCCCCAGGACTAAATGACCATTAATGTGTCAATTTGTTTCACTTTACTCAAACAAACAAACCATTTGTCCTTGCAAATAATGCAACCGCCACTCACACAAGCAGCAACAGTAGCGGGACCACAAGTAGTGGGTGACTGGCGTTACGTCCACCCTCACCTCAATCCCCAACCAACATCCAACCACACCGCTACCCACCCCAACCCATTCCCCTCAAACTAGCATCAACCAGACCCCCACCCCTACACACTTTCTTCTCAGCCACCCCCCCCCCTTTACACACACAAAAAATCTCCACTCACACAAGCAACAAAAGTAGTGGAACCACTAGTCCTGGGTGACTGGCATAGCGGAGTCCATCTTGTACCCAACTGGGCGCCTCTCTCACCCAACCCATACCCTCAACCCCCACCCACACCCCAACCCACCCTACTCCTTACGTCTCCACTTTTTTCCCAGTCTCATCACCCCACTCCACCCCCACACCCCACCCCCATCATCCCCCACAACTCCACTCACACAAGTAGCAACAGTAGCGGCACCACAAGTCCTGGGTGACTGGCATAGCGGAGTCCATCTTGCACCCAACTGGACGCCTCGCCCACACGGTCAGTGAGAACCTCGTATGTCCAGCGCTCTTGTCGGAAAGGCCCGCACGACTCGGAAGGCTCGATCCTGTGATGTTTTATGTGACAGATTTAGTCAGAGTTTTACGGCACTTGCAAGCACAATTAGGTCATTTTTATTTATAAGTGCCGAAGGTTAGAAGTGATGATAATGTGAGAGTAACATACAAAGAAAAGAAAGGGGGAAAAAAGG